TATTTTTGGGTTTCGTTACAGTTTTCTGACACCATCTTTCACATGCATGTTACTGACCCTGACCCATTTTAACAAACAGGTTCAATTTGAAAATTGTCTCATGGAATTCAGTACCCGCCGAATATTGCACAAGGAAATCTATTTCTGTGACTTCGTTCGTGCAATGCCGCCAAAATGTAACGTTACGTATAAATCACTGTGTTATCTTATTTTATCTAAAAGAACAGGTACACAGTGTGAACTTATCCCCACGAAAAATATAGTTACTGTAAACATTCGTACAATATCATGTACTCAAAACACACTGTTTAACTATAATATTCCAAAATTTCGTAACACGTACGATGAAGTACGTTTTTACTCAATACACAAACGACAAATTATGACGAAGATGACGTCACTATCAAAAAGACGTTGCTAGTGATACCATGTTTTTTCTTACAGGTTTGCTTATCTACTTTCTGCTTATAAGTTTTGTACGTACCTTTTATTAGTAAAATAAATTTTATAAATAAATTACTTGATTTGCCTTTTCTTGATTAAATCTTTGGTAAATGCTTTCCTACCTTTTCCTATTTCTTCCTTCATTTATTTGGTCATTGGGAATATTAAAATCATTCTTATTGGTCTGAACAATTTTCCTAGTGATTATTCGAAAGACTGGTAAAACTAAAGACTAAAACGCTTATAAAAATAACTGGGGTTAACATTTTTGTAATCTATAGAAATGTTGAAGCCGTTTTTTTTAATCTGCGGCACAAATTAATTTGTTTTGACATTACGATTTGTTTTGGCGGCGAAACCCAAAACAAACCGATAAACACGTCCAAAGAGAATTGGTAGGGTACTTATGAAATTTTCAAAACATAAAGTTGAAGTTGATTCGCTTATTTATTGAGCATAGCTTGTTTTCATTACCATTAGTTAGTTACGTATGCTGAGACCCCCACGAATGCCCGCGTCAGCGAGATATTCTAAGAACATTGTATTACATTGTAACAATCATCGTCTGACTTAACGTAACGGATGTTGATAACATTCCTGAGGGTCAAATTACCAGATAGGATTATATTTCTCTAGCATAAGAACAATAGCATTGTAAGTTAGTCTTAAGCCAACTCTGGTAGCGAGCATACGAACTTTCGTTAGCACTTGTAATCAATATACATGTCTAATTAAAATAAAGTCGTATTTTTAAAAGGCCTTCCGGCTCCCACAACACTTGACTGGCGCAGCCGGTAGGATTTTCGCGTCGCGTTTTACTCAAAATCAGAAAAATTCGACGAGCGTTTTCTAACGTTTTCATACGAGAATCCTCGAACCAAACAAATTCGTCAAGAAGAACGGCAGGCCAAGGCAGAGCTCCAGATTAAGACTCACCAGGAGGGACATGGACAGCATGTGAGTAGACTCTATCGCTATTCCATCTGATTTAATCCAATCCTATTCCACATTAATTATAAGTGTCTAGAGATACGTAGTGTACTTTCCAAAAATCGATTTGCACTATATATTTCTTTTAATTAGTATATAAGAACATTTTGAAATAAAATTTTATTAAATATTTAAATATTATTAAATAAATAAAAATGTCTAAGATCACACAGATTCCCAAAGAACTTTCAGGAATCATCCCCAAATTCGACGGTGATGAAAGTTTATTAAATCTTTTTATAAGAAAAAGTGAATATGTTATTAAATTAAGTAGAGAAGCAGGTAATTTAGAACAAGACCTATATATATTCCAAGTCATTACATCCAAACTAACAGGCAAAGCAGCAACATTAATAAGTGAAAGACCAGACATTGAGACATGGAATGAACTTAAATTAGCTTTCGAACAACATTTCGGTGATCCACGTTCCGAAGAATGTATCGCGATTGAATTAGAAACTTTAAAAATTAACAATGGCGAATCTTATCTTGATTTTTGTAATAGAATACAACATATTAAAAGTACATTATTTGCAAAAGTAAACCGAATTAGTGACGTAAATCTGCGCAAAAGTAAAATCACCATTTACGATCACATGTCAATGAACGTATTTCTCTATAATTTACCAGAAGATTTATTACGCATAGTGCGATTAAAAGGATGCAACTCACTTGAAGATGCCCTAAGCATTGTTTTAGAAGAAGTGAATTTCTTATATCAGTACCAAACTAGAAATAAAATGCTTCGATTACCTAATAACGCGCAACAAAAGCCGCAACTAATCACACAAAATCCTTTCATAGACAAAAATGTAATGAAACCTTTCTTTTCTCAAAATACACAACAAAGTAATTTTAAATTCGGAATACCACAACAAAGCAACTTACAAACGAAACCTATTTACCAGGCGCAACAATCACAGCCTAATTTTAAATTCGGTATTCCACATACACACACAACATATAACACGAAACCGATATATCAATCACAAATACAACCTA